GGACGCACACAGGGCAAAACATAAGTCCCCGTTTTCGGACTGCGTCCGAACGGGGACTAAAAATCATTTCCAGTATTACATTCAAAATGTTATATATATTCAAACAACAGGTATTGTATTTGTTTTAAGAGTGCATCTCCAATAGGGGCTCATGTTAGCGCAACATGTTGTTTTGGCGGGTTATTATGTACACCAGATACATACACTGGACAATTAACACTTACATTTTTAACAGGTTATTTATGTAAGTGCATGCACTAATAACAGAGGAAATGTGTTATATCATAAAAATATTATATTGCACTAATTTTAATAGCTAAATTATTCAACAATTTGGCTGAAAAAGCCAAAAAAGTAGGGAGTCCAAAAATGTGTTAACTGTCTACCAGCAACAATAAATAAATAAAGTCTGACCAGAAAAGATGAAGTAAAAATAAAAATTCAACTTGCTGATAATTAGAAAATCAGTCGTCATGGTAATTTATACAAAAATCCAATATTTTCTTATTTCTCCTTAACCCTTTATTTGGGGCCACACAGTTTCCAATATACCATTTTAAATGTGCAAAACAATGCCAACTGCAAAAATAATACATGGGTTGCATTTTGAGGTACTGGCATATGTACTGTATTTGAACATAACAGTCACTATTATTGCATCTCTTTTTTCTTAAGAAAGATTGTTTTAAAAATGTTTAGCACACTAGGATACTTCAAGGATAAATGGCAGGCTAAATACCAATCTGACTAAATATTGGATAGTATCAGAAATATGCAACCATAGTATTTTAAATGATATTTTAGATGATTTTCCAAGCAACCTGGTCATCAATTCAATTTCTTCAGAAATGATACTCCACTAACTGTTATACAAAATGGCTGCCAAATCTCCCACTCAAAATGGCTGCCAAATCTCCCACTCAAAATGGCTGCCAAATCTCTCACTCAAAATGGCTGCCAAATCTCTCACTCAAAATGGCTGCCAATTTAAAATGAGCAACTGAGGTAGGTTGTTTACTAAGGAGACAATACATTGGACCACCTATCTCTCTTTTTAATTATATATTTCAATGCATCTCTTTTTTTACTACTTCAGTACTTCTCTGTGCTATGATACTCATTGGCATGCTATTTCTATCTGTAACAATACATGTTCATTTCCATCCATCTTCACCTCGGTAAAGCCTAGAGTAAGAGACAAAATACATTTAGATTCCTCTAGCAAAGAAGCTGAATTAATTCTAAGTCTCGTAAACATTATTATTTAGGTTATCTTTAATATTAAAAGATTATTTCAATACTTATTGTAGACAAGGCAAGTTCAATCACAACATGAATCATTGCACATTACTCACCTTGATTTCTGTTAATTGCTGTGGTACTTGTAATGAGTTATTGTTATGTTCAATCACAACATGAATCATTGTACATTACTCACCTTGATTTCTGTTAATTGCTCTGGTACATGTAATGAGTTATTGTTATGTTCAATCACAACATGAATCATTGCACATTACTCACCTTGATTTCTGTTAATTGCTGTGGTACTTGTAATGAGTTATTGTTATGTTCAATCACAACATGAATCATTGTACATTACTCACCTTGATTTCTGTTAATTGCTCTGGTACATGTAATGAGTTATTGTTATGTTCAATCACAACATGAATCATGACACATTACTCACCTTGATTTCTGTTAATTGATATGGTACATGTAATGTATTATCTTTATGTTCAATCATAAGATGACCTCTCCGTGGTGACACTCCAGTCACTTGAACCAATTCACCCTTCCTCAAAATTTTCTCTCCAGAACCTTCTGTGAAAACAGCAACCATATACTAAAGTCAGTATTGTCATCTCTTTTTTAAGTGACATAATTGAATTATGATAAAAAAAAATTGGCAGTGGAAGAATGTTAATTGTTTCATTTTTTTTACTGAAATTTTAGCAATTGAATGGTGGACTGAATTTTACCAAGGTCAGTGTGACTTTCGTAACTTTGTCAACATTATATAATTGTAAAATTTCACAATTTTTCATAATTTATGAAATTATCTCATGAAATTAAAGTGGATTAACTTGAGCACCATCATTTTTCCCGCCAAATCTTTTTAATAAATTATCATAATTTATTAAAACTTTGAAAAAAAAAAGGATGTTTTATATTGTGAAAGTTGACAAAAGATGACTCTGGCAACATAGATATCAAATCCAGATGTATTCAGTGAAGTCCCACAATGCATCTTTCTAATGGTGTTGTAGATGGTGCCCTCACTGGTGAATATAAATACTACTTCTGTTTTTTAACTGCTCACCTGGAAAGCTATGTTTCATAACTCGACACTGTGGGAAACCCATTTTCATATTACCAGTGACAGTGTATGATCTACTTGATGGCAATGGTGGTGGACTATCCTGAGAAACAAAAATAAACCATTGCAATTAATATTTGGTGAATATAGTCTCTGGTATTAATACAATTAGTGTTGGACTTCTTCAATGAATCCCCTATACATTTAACAATAGAGTACCAGTACTGTAAAATACTTCATTTTAGCTGGAATTAATTTTCGCTGAAAAGACTTTTTGACTGTTTTGTATGGAATTTATTTTCACTGATTTTTAGTGAGTTGAATGTAAAATATAAGGAAAAAAGGATATTTGCTGGATTTTATTTTCACTGACTCATTCAGTGAAAATAGTGAAAATAAAATCCAAGCGAAAAAAAAGTATTTTACAGTAATTTGTAATGTATTTGAATGTCACCTGCAGAATAATGCAAGATTGAAAATACTTACCATATCAAGGCCATACAGATAACAGGTTTGTTGTATGGTTTTAATATCACAACTTTCATTCTCGATGACTCTTTTTCTGCTTCTTTCAATTTCCTGATACATCGGTGATCTAAAAACAAAGCAGGTTTATGTCACTGTGTTCTAGTGGTGCTTTTAATTACAGTAACAAACATACTCCACTTCAGAACATCTGTAATGTGTTACTCCTGTCACTGTCACTCATGTCACATAACATATTGTATTCATTATTATTTTATTGCTGTCAACTAAAGGAAACTGTGTTTCTAAAGAAGCGGTGAATTTATTATTAATCAATGGAAGTTCTGAGCCTTACTAAAATAAAGTGTTTGTCTATCATAAACATCAAATAAGTTCAAAATTCAAACCTACTGCTTCTGAGAGCCTAGTACAATGTTATGTTGAGATGCAAATCAACCATTGGAGACGTGTTTTTAATAGAGCTAATATGGTACATAGTATACCTACCTTCTTGACATAAGCTGCTCATGGTTCTGTGTTCTAATCCGAAGTTTCTGCTCTAGTGTTCTTTTCAGTGATGGCCAATTTTTAAGGCAAGCAAGCTTCCTGACATGTGATTGGATGACTGTTGCGGCTTCTTCTCGCTTCTGGTATCTCAGGTGTTCCAAGCTCTGCCGTGCACCCTCACTTTGAACATAAATAACAATATACAATTTCAGAGAGTGTGAAACTGAAATTATCCTTAATTATCCAAATTGGAATGTGTACTGATGAATATAATACCTGAGAAAAATATGTCTTTTGCCCATTGCCCAGTTTGTACTTGTATAGGGCATCTTACTGTCATCTAATGCCTTCAGAAATGAGTCTAGTATTGCCTGTAAAGAAAGTACAGAAATAGCATAAAGGAGGCATTCTCTGCAAGTACAAGTTACCGTATTATTCTATAATTTATATGTTGGACTGAATTAATTATATTCACTGATTATTACACATCTATGTCCAGATTGATATAATCAGTATACTGAATTGAAACCAGTGTTGGATTCATGTTTTCACTAACAAACATACATCTGTGAAGGATATTGGAACATTCAATTACAAAACACTTTCCCATTTTAAAATTAGGCCATTTTCACCAATACACGTAACTCCAAAAATGTATAAGCTACCCATGCCAAAATTTAACTTAACCAAAATCATTTGATAATATATCCACTTGAGTTATCCTGGCCACAAGAAAGTATTAATAACATCAAGGACGACAGACATGGTAACTCCTATACCCCATCATTTCATTACCATCATGGGAAAGATAAATATAGATTGACACACAGGGGGTCAGTCAAGTTGATCACAGACTCGGTCTATGGTCACATGGTCTATGATCAGATCAAAGTAAAACAAGTGACAAGATCCCAAGAATGCAATAAATTGATGTGACAAATTTAAATTTATAAAGCTCTTACTTTAGTGTCTTCTATGGCCTTCTCTTCACTCCTCCTAAGTCTTTTATGCCTTGATAAGAATTTATATCGGTGATTAAAAGATCTAAATCTCATCTTGTGTGGATAACCTACAAATGCAAGGAGATTTTTTTGTTATTTTGGGACAAAATAAATATATTGAACTACTGCTCAGTATTTTTAATAATGTATATATTAATGAGTTAATAATACAATAGATAGTATAGGCACAATCAATTATTACCTCCAGCCATGAGATGTACAGTTTCTAAAATCTGTAATGCCCTGATTTGTTTTCTGACAACATTCAAATCAAATATTGATGGTGCTTCCTGATAGTTCGGCTAAAGAAAGAAACACACATTGGATGTTAGTAGATTTTTTTTCAAGAAACACAGAAACATTTTCATCAGTAAAAACTTATCACACATTCAGTTGGCCACAGAGGGCAGTGTTGGTAAATAAAAACAGAAGAATAAATTTGGTGACCAATGAGGGCAGTAACAAATAATCAACTTACCCTGATGCACAGTACAAAATGTGGCTTGGCATGCATCAAAGTTTTCAGTAGATTGTCTAATCTACTCTGAAAATCCTGAGAAAATGTCCTCCTACCTTCACCATTCCTAGGAAATAAAATGGAAAATAATACTCTCAAGTCACGAGCAAAAATACATACTGGGAAAATGAATACTTGTTTTCCCTGTTCATTATAAATGTTATGTATTGCTCTCGCATAACTATTATATACAGTGTAAAAATGTGTCCAACACGTACCCGGATACAGTATCGGAATAAGAAGATGGAGATGGCAGAATTCTGTGATAATTACCCTTTGGGATACCACCTGAAAATAAAAAAAAAATAACACTTAAAAATTAAGTAAATATGAAGAGCAACACTTCAGTGCCAGTCAATATACACCTTCCAGATCTAAAGTACTGCTTGATGCCCAGAATTTGGCAAGGTGTTGAGAATGGTGGAATTTTTTTGCTATTACTGGTAACCTTGTTTTAAAACATGCCTGCCATCTTGGAAAAATTCGTTGACATGATGAAAGGAAAACACATGTACAATAGCAATACCATCTTACCATTTTTGTTTTGTTCTTTGAGTTCACTGGTAAATAAATGTGTTGCAAACCCAAAATTACAATTCTGACGTTGGAAGATATTAATGATGTCATCACCAACGATATCTCTATTGCGTTCTACCATATTTGAAGAGCTATATACTACACTACTGACGTAATGAACAATACCAAAATTGTATGTGCTTCTTTCCTCAGGTATGAAAAACCTAGAATGAAAGGTTGACAAATAGTAGCCTGTATATATTACGCATCTGCAGGTACATTTGTAGACACAGACTCTAAAATGTTTAATTTTCGGAAGTACCAGTTTTCGCAATATGACAAAAAAATCACAAAAACGTGTCTTTTGTGAAAATTAGTATAACATCGCCTGCTATGTTTTTTTCCATTTATTTCGGCAAATCTCAAAGACTTTGAGCAGACGATATGTTAAGAGTATTTATCACATTATTGCCAGTTTATATGTTTGTTCTTTGAGACGACATACTGGACACTTTATGCAGGATAAAAAGCTAATATTTTTGAGAGAGTCTTGCTGTTTGAAAAAGAGAACGTGACTATTTTGCAACAAGCATGTACTGTAAAATGACTAATTTTTCTTGGGTTTAAATTTCACTGATTTATTACCATTTCAGGCATATTCAGTGGGTTTAAAATTCACGGTTTTATCATTTAGATAATGTGTTCTATGTTATATTTTACATATTCACTTGGTTTTAATTTAGCGCATTTTCCAGTAAGCGAAATATGTAAAATTAAAACCCAGTGAATAATTAACCCCTTTACAGTACATATCCTCTGATGAGTATTGATAAGAAAGTGTGCAGAGTGTGAATATGTTCAGTACTAGTAAACGCAGTACTAAGAAACACACTTGTTTAGAATTCTATGACAATTTACAGATGATAAGAACATGCTAACTTATTAATTTCATGATGCAGAGAGGACTGTGTTTCAATACCTGTCATGTGTACTATGTTGTGCTCCGATGTTTTGTACGAACGATGCACATGTACTTTTACTCTCCATATTTGCACTCTCTTTATCTAAATAGTGGAATATACCAGTTAGCTAGAAAGAATCAAACAAAGATATTAATGTACTTCTGTTGCAACAATAAGAAAATGATGAACGACATGCAATTGGGGACAGCTTTTGTACTGATAAATAAATCAAACACTATAGACCATATTTTTGACTACAAAAGTTATTTTAATTTACCACTTTTTTGTAATGTATTGATTTCACATATTTAAATTCAACCAATAACCCACACTACACACTATTGGAATTTTAGTAAAAATTGTAATACATAACTCTGCTGGAGGCTATGAAATCTTACTAAAGATGTTAGCAGACACAATTCTGGTTTTATCCAGCCTTCCCTTACAGCAGCTAACAGCACATACCTTTGTTTAAACTAAATTTGTACTATACTTAATGCTATGACACTTGCAAGAAAATGAACAAATATATAACCAACCTTATTAAGCATCTAGTTCCTTGTACTATGATAGATAGTCCATGTTATGTTATAGAAATTAAATTGCTAAGAAATCTAAGTTTGTTAGAACATACCGGTGCTGATATGAGTTCAATGACTGGTGTATTGTCTTGGTAATCAAGATCCACTTCACAGGGAATACCCTCGTCTCTGTAAAATTGAACCACATAATGCATTGATTTTTTAAATATTGTACATTACATTATTTTAAATTTCATTTTTTTATTTGCACTGACTGAAAAAAACAAATCAGTGAAAGAAAATACATTTTTCTTATGTTCACATACATCTTAAATCATGGAAATATTTATGACACATCGATCACACATATATTTAGATATATAAATGGTCACATAAATGAACCAGATGACATACCTACAACACTCCTGTGTACTTTTGAATACATGTATGTTGTAATAATGTTGTAGTGTCTCTGAGCAAAGATTACTACAAAGCTGCTCAAACTGATTATTCTGAAAATGAAAAAACAAAACAAATTTAGTGTGAATTTCATAATCAGCAATCAAAAATAGCTTGCATGGAATACACATGGTATGTTCAGTATAACAAACCTTTCTACCATTTAACACAGTGATTCCATAATGTTGATTTATTCATTTCCCAAAATGATCTACCCTCGGAAACATTATATTTTTTCTGATAAAAAAAATGTATGCTGTGTATACACAATACACAATAATACTTTATTATCACCGTAAAAAATTTAAATACAATCTTTTTGGTCTCTGAGTAATAAAGTTGAACTAATAAACATGAACACACATGGTGATGGGAATGATGCACTATTGTAAATATGTCTAAGGTTTAACCTAGTGCATGTCTCTTTTTTGTTGTGCACACTATACATTTGTATTTTGTACAGTACCCACTATTTTTTAAGTGACAAACCTGACTGTGTTTAAAACTCAGAAAGTAGTCCGGTACCATATCACATGATACTGATATGGAATTTATGAAATGTATAACACCATGTCTATTCGTATGATAAAATAGAGTACTGGTATTACAATTATTAGCTATTACTAGTACTATCTGCCATGTGGTACTCATTAAACATACAAGAAAGGTTACCTGTGTATTTTCAAATCCAAACATGTCCACAATGCTAATAATACCATCGCCAAGACCACCACAATGTGTACTGGCACTTGATGATTGATTGACTGACAGTTTAGATGTAGCTGGCGATGGGTGTTTAAAATTTTGATTTTCTAGAATATAAGAAACAAAAACAAAACAGGTTATGCATTACGTATTAAAATGCTGGTGTCAGCTATTCTGAAAAAAGAAGAAACACATACAGTTTTAAAGTCTAACGTTTACCTAATCATTTTTATTTACTTTCACTTTTTCTAGAACTTTGAACTGAGTGTGCATTTATATTGCTCACAAGTATATTAATATTAGGCAGAAAGATATATATTATCCAAAGCAATGAAAACATAAGAAAATACTTTTCCCCTTCACTCAGCATGTGACAAGAAGCCTCATTTTTAGTTAAAGACAACAACCAACTGTGAGGGCACCTGACATTTGAGAATTGCAACAAATTAAAAGGAATCAAAATAACATGACAAATTTAATGTCCCACCAGAGAATACCAACAAAAACAGGTTTGAACTATGACCTCACCTCCAGAATGGTGCACATCATCACTGCTACTGGAATGCCCTGAATTTGATCCCGGCCTTCTTAAACTATTTGCTTTCCGGGTGATGGCAGATACAGTTCTGCAATACAATGCTCTGGCAAGGTTATCCCTAGTGGTATTGGCCTGTCAAAAAAATGAAATCCAAATATATATTCAGCACTGGAGGCAATACTGCTATGAAGTATCTACAAGAGTTATTGTGATTGGTAGAACAATGTCACATGACACACACTGACCAATCACACACCAGGAATTGACTTACAGTAGGAGCATCACATGGTGATTTAAATATCTGTCCCCTCATGTTCCGTGTTCTGGTCGTCAGCCCTCGATATAATGAAACACCAGATACACCCAATAAAGCTGCTACTGCTTTTATTTCTGAAATGATAATTGCATTATTAATTATTTGTTTTTAACAATTATTTTACACTTTAAAACTAATAAGTTAAAGTTTAAAATCCAAAGTATATTTCAAGTAAAATATAAATGATTCAATTTTTTTTACCATTATTGCCTTTGATATCCAGCTCCAAGCCATCACTTTCCACAAACTCAATATTGCCTAGCAACATGATAGCTGCAAGTATCCTCATCACATCAGAGAATGGAATACCAAGAATTTGCAAGGAACTCTGGGTAAAATGGAAATAAGTTTTAATATTTTCAGTTCAATATAACAAAACATTGTTACATATCATATATATTGGTAAAAAACAGATATATATCGTAATTTCAATCACACACCAGTATATTTCTGAGTTGGCACTTAGTGTTTATAGGTGAGCAAATTATCAGCCATTACAAAATAGAATCCTATCGCAAGTAGTTATGTATATTTTTATAAATTCACACATAATGTTGATATCATACCTTCCAAACTTGGAACTTCTGACAGTCTTCGTCAACATCCACGTTTAATAAGTGATTTAAATATTTCAGATTGTGGGAGGAGTATCCTTGTAAATGAAGTTTTACTGCAAATTAAGATGAATTTAAGATTACTACTGTTGTTGCTTTTTTAAATCAAATATGATAGTATGGAGTAAAATACAATTTGTTATTTTCTACATGAAAATCGAATTAGGTTTGAAAATGAGAACAGGTTTATACACCCCAATGCAAATTAGATTAAAAGAACTTCATCTACTGCTCAAATTAATTATATTAATTGTGTTCCCAACTAAGAGTTGTGCAACTTAATCAGAATTAGAACCTCCTCAAAAATAAATTAGTTTAAGATGGTATTCTCTATCCACAGTATGTTTTCTTAAAGTGATTTTCAATGATAAATAGAACATTTAAATTATAGCCAGCCAGCTCCGATAGTCCTGTAAATTGATACTGTTCATCAGTATGTCGCCCTCTATAGTTCATAATAATCATACTCTTGTTTTTTCAATATAAAGTTTATGATGCAGATTTAAAATGAAATACATATGCCAATACATGTTTACATTGAGACAAACCTCTTTCATCTTGTGAGAGACCTGACAGCATGTGATAGAATATATGATAGCCTTTCTCGTGAGGTGATGTTTGTATTACCCTGGTTTCATCCACAAAATAACAATGTATCTTGGTTCGAAAAATAACACCTTCTGTTACATGCACTTCTGTGTAATAACCCTAAAAAAAGAGAGACAGAAAGTGCTTAGTTAATAATTAACCCAATTATTGCTAACATTGTCACTTTTTCTCAATGTTACTAGATGGTTAGAAACATTACAGAACGTGCTCCTTGAAAGCCTCGGTTCCCGTTTATACTTATTCAAAGAACAAACATTCACACAGTAACAAAAGCATTTTGATTTCAGTTCCTGTGAGTCATAGATTATTTTAATTCCAAATACCAGCTCGTGAATGTGCTTGGTTGTTTTCCTTACTTAGTCACAATAACGTGATACAACTTCACAACTTCTGGGTCACATGATCGTATGACTGCCTTCAGCAGGAGAAATAATCAATTTCCACTTATTTGAGTTCTATTCAAAATAGTATATAGTTGTACATGCTATACTAAAAAAGGTTCCCACTAAAAAAGACTGTAGATTATTGTAAAACAACATCATTTCCACTAGTTGCCTGCTAAATTCTGTGCTATTTACAGTGACGACATAACGCAAATTATAAGTAAACAGCAACGTGCTTGGAAATTAATTTCACTATTTAGGCGAAAGGGGTAAATCTACCAAAGTACAATCTAGTGGGAAATAATTTTATTCCTATCGTTGGCATGTGTTCATGCCAAATCAGTGAAAATTTGCTGTGTTATGTGCTAATAAATTACAGATGAATTACAATCGTTTTCACTAAACATTGGACAATCAGATTGTGGTAAATGTTGATACATCAGAGCAAGTACCTAATGAAATTGTCACTGATTTTATCACTACTAATCAAAACATCATTACTGTAGCCTAAACATGTTTCATACAATGTATAACTGTCTGTACTCAACTCATTTACATAAAATGTTACGTTTGTGTGTGTCCCAGTAGTGTGTCCAGACACCCAGAGCATATAACGCGGGAAAGTCGGGAGTACATGTAATTTGTTGACAAAATGCAGTCTCATAATTCGACACACAATTTAGTGTACGACAGAAAATTGTTGAACTTTACTTAAATTGGCTGTCGTGTAGTCAATTTGCACAACAAACTAGGGTGTCAAAAAGTACTGCGAATAATATATGCACTAAACTTATTACTAGCGGTGATGTTTCAGCTGGGAAGCACGTTCTCGCCAAGGGGCTTTCGCGGTCAGTCGACAAGCCCCTGTGCTCGGACCTACGGCCTTCGATGGATGGCCGGACCAAATACTAGTATTTTTTGCTTCCTACGACCTTGTAATTGCTGCAAAGTCAACGACTGACATTAACGAACAACGAATGCTTGAATTTATCGATACATTTCTGATTTTAGACCAGAACAGCTGCACTGGTTTGACGAGGCGTCTGTCATTCGTACTTAGTCTACTGGAAACCGGCGTTACGGGCATACAGAAATTGG